TCTAGACTAAAACCACTTACCATTAAGGTTCAAAACATCGATACACCCCGGCGTACATATCAAGGCTGACCAAAGCACATCCAATTTATTCTAGTTTTTTTTTTGTTAAAATGTTAAGTCATACCCTGAGTTTTCATAAATTGACTTGAAAATTTCTTGATTTTCCAAAAAAACTAATATACCTTGCATCCATTTGATTTAGAGGAATCAACTAAAATACTTTTTTCATCCTTCATAATTCTTGAAGTTTTCAATATGAACCAGAGAGAAATGAAGCCCTCATTTTAATCTCCATAAGGAATCAACTAAAATACTTTTCATCCTTCATAATTCTTCAAGTTTTCAATAAGAGCCAAAGATAAATGAAACCCTTACTTTAATCTCCATCTAACTCTAATTTGCCCATTTTCATTTAGATTGAAAGCATGGCCCAATAATATATATATATATATATATATATATATATATATATATATATATATATATATTATTTAGTACTAAAATTATTTAGAACTAAGTTGGATTTGGGATTAAGATAAATTCACTTTTCACTTATGGTAAATATTTTTGTTTTATATTTAATTTTATAAATTTATTCTAATTTTATATGGATTTACTAATATTTTAATCATATCAGATGTTTTAGATGAAGTTTCAAATCGGATTTGTAGATTTGTAAACAAATCAAACTCAAATCTATGTAGGGATGGCAATGGGGCGGATTCGGGGAGAGTTGTAATTGTAAATTATAGACCCTACCTGCCCCCCTAAACCTCTCAACCTTACTTGCCTCAAAACCTGTAGCGGGTTGGATTTTGAAAATCCAAACCCTCCCCCTGCACATGAAAATGCAAAACCTCCCTGACCCTAACCTCCCTACATTCAAGGGTAGGGGTGGGTTGGGTTTAGAACCTGCATCTAATTTTCTATTATTTCTTGTAATATATAAGCAATAAATAAGTAAAATAACACAAATAAACAACAAAATTGCCAATTATTTGATTTAGACATGTAGAAAACACATAAACTATCAATTATCCTTCACATAAAATTCAAAATATTATTAAATTCAACACCTAGTACATAAAGCTAGCTTATATGCTTTCTAACATTATGTGAGTTGGGTTTAGCCTAATATCGTACCCTACCCATACCCGTATGGGTTGTAGAATCCCAAAACCTGTCCTTCAAGCAAAAAAAAAAAAAAACCCACCCCGTTGGAGAGGGTAGGGGCAGATACCAAGGTTTTTAATTTCGACAAAATATGCCCGATACGGGGCATATAGTGTCGTATCTTTTAAAACCTAATACGAGATACAACAGAAAATTGAAGGTATCATCTTTTTTCCACTGTATCGAACCCATATCCAGGGCATATCGGTGGATACATATGCTACGAAAAAGATGCAGACAGAAAATGAAAAAAAAAATAAAAAGGGGAAAGAAAGTTTTCTTTCACCTCCAAATGACTCTAAGACTCTAAACCTCATTCCTAGAGTGCTAGATATATAAAAAAAATGCAAGAAACAAGTGTGAATCATTAATGTTTTTTGAAGATTTTTCAAGTTTTGAAAAAATATGGCAAAAGTAAGTAAGTTTTTTCAAATTTTCATAATATCTTGTAATTTATTTATTTTTTCTTGAATGCTTGAAAATGCTTAAATATATGTTGATCTATATTTCTTATAATATTCAAAAAATCATAATTTTTTTTTGTGTTATGAATAGACTTATGGAAATTTTATGAAGAGATTTGTGAAAAATATAAAATAACAAAGAATTTGAAAATGTAATTTTTTATCTACCTATAAAGACTTAATATGTTTTAGATCTATGGATTATCTATCATATCTATATATCTGAAATTTCTTCTTCAATATTTTTTTTTATTTTTTATATTTTTAGAATTAAAAAAATAAATAATAATTAATTATATTTTGTAATCTAATCACAATGATTGGATATATTATAGATCTATATGTGGATCACTTATCATATCCTAAGAGCAATTGAAATATCTTCTTCAATAATTATTATTTTTTGAATATATTATACAATGTTTATTTATTTTTTATAATTTTTGAAAATAAAAAATAAATAGTAATTATTTAAATAATAAATAACTATTAATAATATTTTCACTTAGAAGTTGTGCCAATGCATGTTTTATGGTTGGATATGATAGTTGGGTTTTTTCCCATCCCTTTAAAACTTAAGAATTAGAATTTATAAATTATAAATTGTAAAACCATTAAAATATAATAACTTAATATATGTATACCTCACAAAGGCCTTATATTTAGTGTTATTGATGTATCTTTATGATTTATTAAAGTATATTTTATAGTGTTTCCATGCGTATTTTAATTTTTCTCTGATACACATGCATGTCTAAGGTGTATCTTGATACGTCTCTTAAAATTGCCTTTTAGATACACTTAGCGTTTCTAGTACTTTGAACCTTGGCGAGTACCCACCTGGTAGGGTAGAAATTGCAATACCTAAATCTATGTATTACATACTGTTGGATATCAAATTGGACTAAAATCTCTTGAACTGTTATTGGATACCTTGTCCAAATTCAATCTAATCCATTTGCAGTACTATAAACCATTCATGGTTCCAAACTGTGGATTCTTTTTTGAAACTGAACTAGTATCATCGGTTTTTTTTTTTTTTTTGAAAAATCATGAATCGAACTCGAACTAAAAAGCAATTGATTAACTAGTTGACTGGTTTGGTTTTTTATTGGTTCAATTCTTTAGATTTTTGGTTTTTATATTTACAATACATATTATAACTGAATATAGAAGTATATAATATAAATACTACAAATATACATAATATAATATATAATACATAATAAATATACATATATACATATTATATTATAAATACTAGCTACAAATATATACATATAAGTTATTACAAATAGATTATTATAAATATAATACACTTGTATTTATATATAATGCATATAAATTTATATATAATACATATAAATATATATACCACTTGATTTGGTTAATCGTCAGTTTTTCTTTAATGTTAACTGAAATTGAACCGATCAATTTGATTTTGGTTTGGTTAACCGAATTTTTCAATTTGGTTTCTTTGATTCAGTTTTGGTTTTTTGGTTTTTAAGTTTTTGTTGAACACCCCTACTACAAACAATATTCTTCATGCCTACGTGATATACAATGCATTGTGACTAAGGCATACAAGAAAAAAAAGAACTGCAGACTAAAATCACTTACCATCAAGGTTTAGAATGTCTATACATCCCACTGTACATATCAAACGTTTGATCAAAGTGAATCCTATTTTTTCTATTTATTTATTTTTTGTAAAAGAACCATAGAGAAACGAAACCATCACTTTAATACTTCAAATACTTTTTTATCCTTCATAAATCTTCAAATTTTCAATAAGAACCAAAGAGAAATGAAACCATTACTTTAATCTCCATCTAACTCTCTTTGTAGAATCCCCTTTTAGGACAAACTTATTCTCTAGTATTATATGACAAATGCAAATCCTACACTCTGCACATGTATCGGTACTTGAAATCATACTCCTTTTATTTTTTTAGTTTTTTTTTTGAAGTTTCAGTTTTAAATATATATTTATATATTACTTTAAAAAAATGGATTCACGAAAACACCGGTAAACAGGTGTATCGGGGACCAAAAAAATACTATACAATATGCATGATAGAGGGCATATTGTATCGATATTTTGAACATTAGGTATATTTAAGGCCCGTTCACTTTTCGGTAAATTAGTTGCCCAGGTAAATGCAGTTACTTGGGTAAGTTTTTCATGGGAAACAGTTATCCGGGTAAGTGCATTTACCCATGTTCTTTTATTTCTCATGTAAATAAGACAATGACAATTTTATCCATAAAAACCCATTATTAAAAGGGGCATTTTTGTCCCATTCAAGTGTTGGCAACTTTCCCTCTAGGTGGGAAAGTTATTTACCCACCTAGGAAATGGGTATCATTTGCCCAAGTAAATGATACCCAGGAAAATAAAATTTCCCTAGCCCCCACATAAATCTGAAGAAAAAACATGGGACTCTTGGTCAATGGGATTTTGGTTCCCATTGACCAACTTTCCCCCCTCTCAAAATCTTAAAAAAGAACGCCCCTAAGTCTATTTGAAAAACTCAGAAATATTTAGGTCTATTTATGAAAACTCAAGTATGATTAATTTTTTTACCTCTTTTTTTTTTCTGTTTTATTGGGGTCAAGTCTTAGCAAGAAATGGAAGACCTATCCCATGAATTTTCCCCTGTGAAATTATTAAAATTTTAAAAAACATTTTGTGTATTTGAAGAGTTTAAATCAGCCCCCCACAACGTCCCATAACACATCTCCGCCTCTATTGGAAACATCTCCCGATGATAATATCAGAAATGATGATGTCATCATTGGGAAATGTTCCCAATACACAGCAGAAATATATTGTGGGACGCCGTGGGGGCAATCTTGTGAGGGCTGATTTGATCTCATATTTGAATGGGGCCAATGTAACATGCCTTCCTACCTGATGAAACTTCGAATCTTGCTCACCATTACCTTGTGAATTGGGATCTCCTGCGAATAAAACACGTTCCAATGTCCTAGCAACTTGATGTGACACCACATATCTCACTATGAAATTGAGTGGACCTGCGAGATGTGCGGTGTCAGATGATGTTGGTAGGGTGTTTGGAACGTCTTCTATTGGCAAGTGATCCACACTGACGATAGTCGATAGAGTCATAGAGAAGACCTGGTAAGAAAATAAAAATTAGAACTGGGGCGTATATATGCAATTAATTATGGACAATCAAATGGCCAAATAGGGGATGTTTCTGAAACCTAACGGTAAAACAGAGGGGTGGTACAGGATAAAGGTAAAAAACAAACAACCCGGGGGAAAGAAGGTCGGTAGGTTAGTTAAGATGTCTCCCGCCCAACTGAAGGGTTCCTTAAAACGCCCGCCTTCTCAACATTTCGAATTATTTCTTCTTTTCCCCCAGAAAAGAAATGGGAAATAGACGTTGCTTCTCATCTTTCCTTAGCTTCTCTTTTCTGTGAAACCATTGACACCAACCTCCCAACTTCCACTCTTCACCAACCTCCCTTCCATCATCCCTCCCCATTACAAAGATGCCGACAATGTCTTCCATTGGACACCACCAACAAACCCTAGCTGGGGTTTCTGAGGAGATCAAGAGCAAGATTCAGAAGAAGGGAAGGGAGACCCTAGCTGGGGTTTCTGAGGGAAATTTCAACCAAGATGATGGAGTCCGGGGTCCCTCTCTGCAACTCCTGTGGTGAATCTGTTGGGCATGCTTCTAATGGAGAGGTTTTTGTCGCCTGTCAGGAATGCAATTTCTCTATTTGCCGGTCTTGTTTTGATTATGAGCTCAGAGAGGGAAAGAAAGCTTGCTTGAGATGCGGAAACCCATACGACGGTACATCTTTAGCTATTCTGTGATTTAATGGGGTTTACTGTTTTGCTTGCCTGTCAGTTGATTGCTGATTTTGTCACTTTGAGATTCTTATTGATTATGAAATGATCGTGCAAATTAATGCTTCTACTCTTCATTTTGTCATCCGTTTCTTCAAAGCAAATTATGACAATGTTCTGATGCCTGCCTACTTACCTGCTAGTCATAGAATCATGCTCTGCATTTATGCTAACTTTCTTGGATCCGAGTTTTCTGTTTTCAAGTGGTGCTAGAACTGAACCCATGATCCTATGAATGCTTGGTGGTGATAATTATTAAAATCTCATAATCAATATATGAATCTTCATTACAAGGATGCGAATCTTTTTCTTTGTTAATGACTACTGGTTACAGTTATTTAACATCCTTGGCTGAATTTTTGGTCATGGATTTACAGAGAACTTGGCACTGGATGATGTTGGAAAGGAATTACCAGTCAGTCGTTCAACTATGGCAGATCATCTCGATAATCATCAGGTGACCCTATTTGTTCTTTTCATTGCATTCTTTACCATTCTGTAGTCCGACGTTTCACCAGAATATTCCTGCTGGGATGCTGCTTGAGCACTTCACATGGCATTCTTGTACTAAATCCCTGCATATTAGGGACCTGGCTGTTTTAATCATCATGTAATATCGTACAGGATACTGGAATCCATGCCAGAACTGTGAGTAATCTCTCTGCAGTGGAAAGTGGTGAGTGTTATTGCATTTCTTTCAAATTAGTCCTTATGTTCTTTTTCTTGATTATATCTTAAGCTTAATTATCTTGTTTTCCTGTGAAGAATCAAATGGTGAACCTGGGAACCCTATATGGAAGAACAGAGTGGAAAGTTGGAAGGAGAAAAAGAATAAAAAGAAAAAGGCTGCAAGTAAGGCTACTGAGGAAGTTCAAATTCCAACTGAACAGCAGATGGAAGAGAAACAGTAAGTAGAAGTTGTTTGAATGTAAAGAAAGTAGAATATCATTTTAAAGCCCCCAGATAGGAAAAGCGGCCACGGATATCTTGAGAATAAAAAGAGAACAAGAAGAAAGAATAACACCATTACGTGGATTTCAAAAACTGCTTCCTATCTATGAAATTGTTTTTTACTTTCTTAAGAGAAGGAACAAAAGTATTATTTTATGGTGTCAATCAGTCGGTTGTATGTTCATTTATGGTTGAGATCTCATTTAAATTTTCAACTACTGGTGTTAAAGTATGATATTAATTATGGGATATAGGAATGTATTATTCCTATATCAACTGCAGGCATTTTATTCCTTTTTTAGGGATTAGCTATTCCATATTCCATTAGTTTTATGGATCTATGATATCTTGGCAAATGTATTGTTTATGTTCCATATCAAGACCTTTTATGTAATATTTACATTTTCCTAATATGGGCAGTTTGCTTATGCAGGTCTCCAGAATCTATACAAACTTTTTCAAAAACAATTCCAATTCCTCCCAACAAAATCACTCCATACAGAATTGTGATCATTATGAGACTGATAATTCTGGGACTTTTCTTCCACTACAGGGTAACAAACCCTGTTGATAGCGCTTATGGCCTATGGCTTACCTCTGTCATATGTGAGATCTGGTTTGCTGTCTCCTGGGTTTTGGATCAGTTCCCTAAATGGTCTCCTGTTAATCGGGTGACATACCTTGACAAACTATCCTCCAGGTATAGTTATAACTGCAAAACCTTTGGATGTAACTAAGTTGCATGCCATTTGACATTGAAAGTTGGTGCATCCTGACATTATGGTTAAATGGTAAGAAATTTTAATATACTTGATAAAAAGGGTTATGAAAATTACAGAAAAACATGCCTTCTGAAGACAATCAATAATTTAATACACTTTATTAAAAATGTTAATGGTTAATACTTGAATATAATGCTGAAGTGTTTATTTCAAACTGTCATGGCAGGTATGAAAGAGAGGGAGAGCCCTCCGAACTTGCTGCTGTGGACTTCTTTGTAAGTACAGTGGATCCATTAAAAGAACCACCATTGATCACAGCCAATACTGTGCTTTCAATTCTTGCTGTGGACTATCCTGTTGATAAAGTATCCTGCTACGTGTCTGATGATGGGTCTGCTATGCTTACATTTGAGGCTCTTGCTGAAACGGCTGAGTTTGCAAGAAAATGGGTCCCTTTCTGCAAAAAATTCTCAATTGAACCACGTGCACCTGAGTTCTATTTCTCGCAGAAGATTGATTACTTGAAGGATAAAGTACAACCTTCCTTTGTGAAGGAGCGAAGAGCAATGAAAGTGAGAATTTGAACTTATCCTTTTTAACAATGGGATTGCCTGTAAAATTCAGCATCTACTATTATTAGGCTGATATATTAAAAGAAGCTACATTTACAATTTTACTAATCAAATTATGCAAAAGCAAGAATTTTTTCATTGATTTTACATTTGATTTCAGAGAGATTATGAAGAGTACAAAGTGAGGATAAATGCTTTAGTAGCAAAGGCTCAAAAAACACCAGATGAGGGCTGGACAATGCAAGATGGGACATCTTGGCCAGGAAACAACCCTCGTGATCATCCTGGCATGATTCAGGTTCAATCAGTTCATCTATTATCTTTATTTATCTATCGGTCCAATAAGAGGTGACAAAAGCAATTGGTTGTGTTATGCTTTGAATGTATTAAGAATTCCAGTTCCATTTTAGCCTAATTTTTTCAACTCAATACACTTCATTTCTTTTTAGACGTTTTTCTTGTTCGTTTGTGATTCTCTTATTAAAATTCTCCTGCTCTAGTCATGCCAACATTTGTCTATGTTTTTGCAGAGTTTACATCAAAATACAAGTTCTGTACATTCAAATGAATTTAGAGCTAGGTGCAAATTTTTATTATTTCAGGAAGTGTCCAATTTTTTGTTTGCTACTACTTTCATCTTAAATGAGATGCCTGTATGCGGAATTTGAATGCTATTAGTTATCAGGTTACTGCACACCTTGTAAAAATTTTGTAACCAAATAATATTTTTAATATATTTTAGTGGCATCCTTGAATATTGAGGTGAAGTACCAGGTCTTTCATGAGAATGTAGGGAGATATTGCCATTTTTAATAGGATTTTTTTTTTCTAATGGATATTTCTTTTTAATATACGTTAGCTATATAATTTGCAATTGGAGCTTGACATAGGTCCTCTATTTATTTATTTATTTATTTCAGGTTTTTCTTGGACATACTGGTGCCCATGACATAGAGGGAAATGAGCTTCCCCGACTGGTTTATGTATCAAGAGAGAAGAGACCTGGTTACCAACATCACAAGAAGGCTGGTGCAATGAATGCTTTGGTATGTCTAACTGCATTATCTAAGCAAAATGTGATCTGTTGAACATTTTTTTTTCTAGTTAACACTTCAATATTGCTTCCTTACAGGTCAGAGTGTCTGCGGTTCTTACCAATGCTCCCTATATTCTCAATCTTGATTGTGATCACTATGTTAACAATAGCAAGGCTGTTCGTGAAGCAATGTGTTTCATGATGGATCCACAAGTTGGTAGAGATGTCTGCTATATCCAGTTTCCTCAGAGATTTGATGGTATTGATAGAAGTGACAGATATGCCAACCGGAACATAGTCTTCTTTGATGTAAGCTATGAATATATTATCCAGCATTGTTAGAAGAGACAATATTTTCATCTTATTGAGAATTTCATAACTGACATTTCCAGGTTAACATGAAAGGATTGGATGGCATTCAAGGACCAGTTTATGTGGGGACAGGTTGTGTTTTCTATAGGCAAGCGCTCTATGGCTATGGACCTCCATCCTTGCCTAGCCTACCAAAGGCTTCTTCATCTTGCTCATGGGGCTGCTGCTGTTGCTGCTGCCGTTCAAAAAAGCCTTCTAAAGATATCTCAGAGGTGTACCGAGATTCAAAACAGGATGATCTTAATGCTGCTATTTTTAACCTTAGAGAGATTGACAGTGAGTGTTCCTTGTGCAATCAGATCTGAGTATTTTAGCAGTTTGACTAGTGATAATACTAACATATACAGTTATTTTCATGCAGATTATGATGAGTATGACAGGTCAATGCTAATTTCCCAGATGAGCTTTGAAAAGACCTTTGGCTTGTCTTCTGTATTCATTGAATCTACACTGATGGAAAATGGAGGAGTGGCAGAGTCTGCAAACCCATCGACGTTGATAAAGGAAGCAATTCATGTCATTAGTTGTGGATATGAAGAAAAAACTGAATGGGGAAAAGAGGTTTGCTGTTTGATTCCATATTTTTTATGTCCATTTTATTCACTTTGTGTTTTCTTTCTTTCTTCTTTAAAGTTTGATTAAGGAATTCACACCAAGCAGTATAATTTTTGATGAGTGGATTTTAAAATATCAAGGATTATATTTAAGGTTCGTATTCCTCTCTTCAGAAATACAAGAATAGTATGAGCTCATTTCCAGAAGGCTCCTTAAAGAACGGAAGGAAAACAAAGAAAAGAATATAACTGTAGAAGACTGTCTTATACTGGTGGATGGTAACAATGGAATTTGGATCTATTAATCCTAGAAAACAGAAATAGGATTTTTTTTTTTAATTTCTTCATGACTTTTGTATTTCATGTCCTTGTGTAATCATTTTGATACAATTCTACTGTCCTTTGTTCAGTTATATTTACCTTATTTCACTTTCCCAACCTGAAATGCTTCCAAACAATTAAAGTTAACAACTAATATCCTTGGAAGATTGAAATGTATAATGTTTTATTTTATTGATAGTTGAATGCATTTTATTTTATGTTTTCTCAGATTGGTTGGATATATGGTTCTGTGACGGAGGATATTTTAACGGGGTTCAAGATGCACTGCCGAGGATGGAGATCAATTTACTGCATGCCCTTGAGGCCAGCATTCAAAGGTTCTGCACCTATCAACTTATCTGATCGGCTGCACCAAGTACTCCGGTGGGCCCTTGGATCTGTGGAAATATTCCTCAGTAGACACTGTCCCCTCTGGTATGGATTTGCTGGAGGTCGCCTCAAATGGCTGCAAAGATTGGCATACATAAACACCATTGTCTACCCTTTCACCTCTCTCCCTCTCATAGCATATTGCTCTCTACCTGCCATATGCCTTCTGACTGGAAAATTTATAATACCAACGGTAATTTCCTTGTCCTCCATCCAGATGTTACACAACCCTTTTTTAAGTTGATGCTAATTCAAGTACCTTGAAGACTTATATTTGTTTGTCTACATTCTGTTTGAAGTCTTTCTATGTCAGTTTAGCCAATTGGCTAATGACAAATTTCTCATATTTGAATGATTGGTTTTGCTTCTATATTGACTGTTCGAGGTTCTTTAGCTAAAGACTATTTAAGGACAGGTTAGACATGATAAACTTCCTTCTAAGTGTACTTATTCAATTTGTTTCAGCTTTCGAACCTTGCAAGCATCTGGTTTCTTGGCCTCTTCATCTCCATCATTGTGACTAGTGTGCTTGAGCTGCGTTGGAGTGGTGTTGGCATTGAGGACTGGTGGCGAAATGAACAGTTCTGGGTGATTGGAGGCGTTTCAGCTCATCTCTTTGCTGTCTTCCAAGGATTCCTAAAGATGCTGGCTGGCCTTGACACAAACTTTACTGTGACAGCAAAAGCTGCCGATGACACACAGTTTGGTGAACTCTATATTTTCAAGTGGACGACATTGTTGATTCCTCCAACTACTCTTCTTGTGGTCAACATGGTAGGTGTTGTTGCTGGATTTTCTGATGCACTGAACAATGGATATGAAGCATGGGGCCCTCTGTTTGGCAAGGTCTTCTTTGCTTTCTGGGTTATTCTTCATCTTTACCCATTCCTCAAGGGTCTTATGGGTCGGCAAAACAGGACCCCTACCATTGTGGTCCTCTGGTCGGTGTTGTTGGCCTCTGTTTTTTCACTTCTTTGGGTGAAGGTGGATCCATTCTTGAGCAATTCAAATAGTTCCAGTGTTGCCCAGAGCTGCATTTCTATTGATTGTTGAAATCAGTTACCACCGGAAATTTATCTATATTTTGGTAAGCAGATGATTTGGAACCCACTTATGATTCTCTTATCAATCTGAGACTTGTAATTATGTCTCGAGGCAAGCAGTCACTCTTCAACTGCACACCATGACAGGTCTCCAGTTTGTCTTTACTATTTTACCACATATTATTAGGTGGTGTTGTTTAATAGTCAAAACATCAGTATGTAACATTTTTAAAGTTTTGATTTTATTTTTATCTGCAAATGAATGAGAGATAATTTTGACAACCATATTCAGTGGTAATGATCTTCCATCTTCATTTTATTGTAGAGAATATGCAAACTGAAACACATAAATAAGCAGTAGGTTGGACTGAGGGTGCATTGGATGGTACTGGATAAATTTGATTGACATAGATGGTAACTGAAATCTGTACTAATAATCATTCTAGAATTAAGACTCCAGAGCAAAGGACCCATTGAGTGGATTTTGAAGATGTACGCATGATAATTCAGGCTAGCCTAGACTAATGAGTATGGCTGGCCCAAGTCGATCCTGGGACCTGTCAAACTGGGCCTAGGTCTAGATTTCTATTGGAATTACAAGCAAACTGGGTTTGGGTTATACAAAAAGCTGGGGCCAAATCATGCAAAGTACATAATGTTTATATCCATATCGGAGTAGAGTGTTGGGCAGTCAAGAAACATGTCCCAAAAAAAAAGATAGGTGGAAATGTCAATGTTGAGATGGATAAATAGAAAAACTAGAAGACTGTCTCAAATGAATCATTTAAGGAACCTAAGAACAGCTCCAACACCTGTAAGAAATAGTAGACTGAGATGGTTGGGTCACAAACAGAGAAGATCATCCACAACACCTGTAAGAAAAAGTGATTGTTACAAGCAGTGTTTTCAACCTGCCATTGACCTGGCCGGTTGAACCGTTCGAATTGTCACCTGGTCATGATTTTGGGTCCAGTTCTAGTAAAACTTGGAATTTGTTCAGAAACCATTGACTAGGTCAAAAACTATTTGACCCAGATGACCAAACTATTGACCCATTTGACTTGGTGACTGGGCCACAGGTTGCAGCACATTAAATATGTATGCAAACTTTCGGAGGATGACTTTGTGCTTCAATTTTTGAGATTTATGCATATGGTGCCTTGCCCCACCATTTTTGCAAAAAAAAAAACCCTTTTTGGGGCATCAAATCACAATTTTTAATATTTTTCTACAAATAAAAAAATAAGAGACAATAAAAAAATATAAATTAAAATAACGCATATATATTTTATTTTTCCACCATATATATATATATACTAGTAATTAAGCACGTGTGTTGCAGGTATGAATTTTTTCATATTAATTACTTGAATTTTAGATATATCATAGTTAGGGTAGAAATTGAAAATTAATAAAAATAAACTTAAATACTTGTACTAAATGTGTAGTTGCAGAAATTTTAAATTACAATAACAATTATTATTATTATTATTAAATTTTGTATTCTATTTTTGTCTTAAATAAAAATAACTTTTATTTTAACAATTAGTTTTATTTAATATTATGATTATATAACATTAGAAATGTTTCGAAATGTCTTTGACAAGATTCTATACTTTTTTATTTTTTTGTTATATCTTTTTTAAATATTTATTATTCAATTATGACATCATGAATTTCTTTGAAAATTTGGATTATTGACCCACTATTTGGATACGAAAATACCTTTGCTTTTGGATCAGTTTTAAATCATATATTTCATCTAGATTATATACATAATTTTTACTTATCACACGTTTGTACTTTTTTATTATTTTTTAAATATCTATTATTTAACTATCATATCATCACTTAATCCATTTGGCCCAAACCATTAACCCACAACCCAAAAAGACAAATAGTGTGATTTCTAGGTTGACATTCAATTTTGTATTACATTTCCATAATTGATAAAATTATATCTTATGCATAATATTTATTTTTGTTCAACATAATGAATATATAATATTATATATATATATACCCAATATTTTATTTTTTATAAATATATAACATTATATCTTATGTATAATATTTATTTTTGTGATTCTTTGTATTTTCTTTTTAAAAAATTTATTATTTGACTTTGACATCATTTCACTTCTAGGTTGATTTTAATTTTTTTTTGGAAAAGGTAAAGTAATATTTATTGAAACAAGAGATACACAAGGAAAGTTGAGATCAGTCCCAGAAAGGCCGATTGACCAAATCAGTAGTTACAAATTCCACCAAGAACAAGAAAGAAAAACAACAGACACATTACAATTTTTGAATTCCTCAGAAACTGACACCCAAGATATTAATTTGCCCACTGCTTTCTGGATTAGCTCTTCCGGACTTAAAGCCTTGTTACAGAAAATCCTTCTATTCCTCTCATACTAGATGGACCATAAAACCGCATTAGGAATAGTCTTCCATACACTCTTTTTTTTCTTGTTCAACCCCTTAAGCTTCCAGCAACACAACAACTTCTTAACCGAACTTGGCATAACCAAACTTAAGTTCATAGAGCTGAAGAAATGATTCCACAACTGAGAAGAATACGGGCAGTGAATGCACACATGATCAGTAGTTTCAGCAATGCTCCCACACAAGCTACATGAAAGGTCCAAAAGTTGAATGCTCCTTCTCACAAGGTTAGCTCTAGCCAAACATTTATTTAGAGCCATAGTCCAAACTAGAAAGTTATATTTAGTTGGGCTAATGGAGTTCCACATTTGATGGCAAGGGAAATCAGTAACACTCCTTCTACAGAGATTAGAAGCTAGAGACTTGACAAAGAAAACACCATCTGAATTCCACTTCCATTGCCACTTATCTTCTGAGCTGACATCTATCTCTTGATTTGAAGAAGAGTCAATAGGTTCAATATCTCTTCCACCTCCCAGTCCAAAAGGTTCATTCTAAAGGAAGGAGACCAAAGAACTGAATCACCAGATGCACTGCAGCACTCGGCAACAGAAGCCTCTTGGTTAGAAGCACACTAGAAAAGGAGAGGAAAGGAATTAGCAAGGGGGCCATCTGAGCACCAAGAATCCTTCCAAAACTTGGTCCTATTAGCATTGCCAACTTTAATTGAGATCCCATCAACAAGAGCTGAGAATTTCTTCATTATCCCTTTCCACAAAGAGTTTCCCCAACTGGGAGGAGGGTCCCTAGTTCTCCAATTTCCCCATTCCACACCATATTTACCAGCAACGAGAGATCTCCACCAAGCATCATTTTTAGCTGCAAATCTCCAAATCCACTTGCAGAGAAGGGCAGAGTTAAAGGATTTCAACTTCCTTATGCCTAACCCCCCTTCATCCTTGGGGAGGCATACTTGATCCCAACTTACCAAATGAACTTTTTTCTCCTTCCCAACCCCTCCAAAGAAAATTCCTTTGAAATTTTTGAAGCTTACTTGCAACTTTGTTCAAAATAGGGAAAAGGGATAGGGAATAGGTGGGCAAATCGGAAAGTGTGCTCTTAAATCAAAGTCACCTTACCCCTGAAAGAAAGGTATTTTGCCTTCCAAGAAGCCAAATTTCTCTCAGTTCTCTCAATTACTGGGTCCCAAATTGAAGATAATCCACAACTTGCCCCTAGAGGAAGACCCAAATATTTGACTGGGAGGGACTCAATCTGACAAGCCAAATTTTTTGCACAATCTACTAAATTGGAAACCTGACCCACTGAAATTAATTGACTTTAAGGCCAGAGACCACCTCAAACCAAACCAAGATAAGTCCCCCTTTTTTAGCCAAACCACTTTAGCTCTTTGTCTCCATTTAATTTCATCTGTCACTGCCAATTTATCATACTTCAACTTCGCCTAAGATCTTTTTAATCTATGCTCCTCTGATATAGGACCCAACTCTTCTGCTGAATCAATTTCCTTTATGGTACTCAAAAGAGCTTTCTTTTTAGTATCTAAACTCATGCTTTTCTCCAATTTCCAAATCTTTAATCTTGCTTTGATGGCACCCAATTTTTTGCCAGAATGTAAGAGCTGGTTCCCACTACATGCATATCATCCCACACAGACTTCAACAAAGGAACAAGAGTAACATCTTCAAACCAAGCATTCTCCATTTTGAAAGGGGCTTTTACTCTACTTCTGGCACCACAGACTATCTGAATTGGAATGTGATATGAAACTGGCCTAGGAAGAGCAATCTACTTAAAATATGGAAAGAGCTCATCCCAATTAGAAGTAACCAAAAACCTATCTAGTCTCACAAGAGTAGGGATATCTTGATTGTTGGTCCAAGTAAACTGACTACCATGAAGGGGTAAGTTTATTAATTCAAATATGTTGATGAATTCAGCAAACTGAACCATATCCCTGGATTTTCTCCCTCTAGAATTTCTCTCTTCAGTAGACAAAGTAACATTAAAATCACCACCAATAACCCAAGGGTAAGACATACTTCCCCTCACCACAACTAGCTCCTCTCAGAACTCCTCCCGCAGACTTCGATCATTAGGACCATACACATTTGTGACTTGACAAACATTCCCATCTGCAAATTTCAAAACTAGGGAAATCAAAAAATTTCCAATATGAGAGGAAATCAGACTACAAACTGACGGATCCCACATACTCAGCAGCCCCCTGCACTCCCAATTGCTAACTTTGCTCTCCATCTAACTTCTCCCTCCCCCCAGATGCTTCTAGCTACTGCAACCTCTACACTATCCTGCTTGGTTTCTTGCAGCAAAATAATTTTTGACCCCAACTTCTTCAGAGGCTCACACACTACAAGCCTTCTTCTACCCGACTTGAAACCCCTTACATTCCAAGATAACAACTTTATCTCCATTACAAAAACCTAAAGCAAAAGCAAGCTTAATCCTTAAGACTTTCTCCTCCCCCCTCGCACTCCCCTCACTACTGCCAGCCTTGTCGTTTAAACCCCACGTCAGCCGCATCACTTCTTTGCTTCTCTTGGATTTATTTCTCTCCTTCTTTGCTTCAATTTTCCCCCTTTCCATAAGAACTCTTTGTTCAAATCCCTCTAAGTATTTGATTGTCTCCTCCTCCAACCCTCCTAACGAAATCCCTAGATAATTACCCAATTCCAATAGTTTTGATGAAACCCCAGAGGAAGCACTAGAGGTCACTGGTTGTTTACCTCACTGAATCGATTGAATCAACATCATTCTACCATTCTCCTACGTCTGTTCTACTATTCCAGAACCCTCCGTGGTTGCACTACTCCTTCTTGCTTCCGCTTGGGAACTAACAAGGTCTTGATCATCTCCCCTGTCTTCAAACTGTGAATTTGAAACC